CTGTCGCTTGTGGTTGCCATGCAATCATGTCACATTGTACCAGTTTTGCAACATGTCATGTGAACGAGACCACAGCAAGAGCAACAAGTTCATGACATGTAAATCATGAGATTCATGACATACGTGTCTTGATTTTCTAGTTATGACTAGTCAAATATGTTCTTCATAAAGTCATAATATGCCATACCAAGTTTGGTATCGATACCATAATTGAAACGGCCAGGAGAGTTAAAAGTCGTCGGTGGCTAGATAGATAGATAGTTGATAGATAGATAGATAGATAGATAGATAGATAGATAGATAGATAGATAGATAGTAGATAGATAGATAGATAGATAGATAGATAGATAGATAGATAGATAGATAGATAGATAGATAGATAGATAGATAGATAGATAGATAGATAGATAGATAGATAGATAGATAGATACGCTCAAAGTTGCCGAAGTTCGCTAAGAAATGCTTCGCATTTAATAGTAATTGTGGTTTCAGTGAAAACTAGGTAGCGTTTTTCACACGAGAAAAGCAGGCGCGCCATTGTTTCTTAGGAGGAGCTTCCATTTGCTACTTTGCTAGGCGTCTCGTTGCAAAAGTGGAGACAGTCGCACGTTTACGGAGAGGTACAAAGATGATTCCCGTGAAGCAGTTCAGAGGAAGGCCTGAACAATGTGGATTCCCAGATACCAAAAATATGCCGAGCGCTATACATCGCAATAAGAAAAAAAATACGGCATAGTCAGTGAAATATGCGCAGGCTCACGCCAACACTATTTCAAATTTACTAATCGTCCTTCAATAATGTTTGTCCTCTCGCATAGTAAGGTGCGCTGGCGCGCCTTGGAAAGCCCAGATTATGCTTCAACGTTTGTTCTAGATTGATTGCTTGAACAATGGCATTTAATGCTAATAGAGAAAAAAGCACGTCCCTACCACAGCGTTGTATGAGTGAAGGATGAACTTCAAAGTTCAGGCTCTTTAAGCTAATGCATTATTTTTGGCTACAACGTTCGCACAAGTTATTGTAGGATTAAATTGGTGGTTGAAGAGCCTTCTTCTGTGAATTCAGTATATTGTGAATATATTGTGAATTCAGTAAACATCACGCATTGCTGTTTTCCCACAGTTGCAAAAAAAAAACGGAGTACATTATCCCATTGACATGAACAAGGTCTACATTTATTCTGATCGTGATCTTCACGTTTTGAGCTTTAAGGGTGCCAATAAGAAAAAATGGCAATTTCATACGGTGCCTAGGCCTGAGTTAAGTAACGCAGGATCGCAGACTGCAAAGTAGAGTTGGTGTAAAGCCGCCAATTTTCGCATTAGTATTGCTTTCATGGGTAGTCAGTGAAGCTTCACTAGTGGTTTAAATCATGCTTTACTCCAGCGTAATCGCCACACTAGCAAGTGGACGTTCAAATAACCAATCTGTTCATACTGTAGAGAGAAGTAGCATACTGTGGCATATGCCAGTCGCACATTAACGAAGACAGAAAGAAACTTCTCTTTTAGATAAAAGGAATATTTAGCCGTCATTTAAGCTCTCGTCAAATTTTGTCCGTATGTATATCTATAAGGTCGTTCTTTTGACGTAGTTAACGACCACTATGCCCTTTTCTGACTGTCCTCGTTAAAAAAATCACCAGGCTGCCTCAAAGGACGGGCACTTCGCTTACAGGAGCACGACATCCACGTTGTCTACAGATCAGTCATGAAGCACGCTGACCTCGATGCGCTTTCCCGATTGCCGATACATTTCGATGTGGCTTCCAAAGCAATGTCCTTAGCATCTTCTGTTGCCCACCGACGCAGCCAAATGGCTGCCGAGCAGCGCAAGGCTCCCACCTTCTCAGCTCTACAGAACTCACTCGAGGATACAACCCTTTCATTTTCTCGTACGCTTCGTCACCAAGCCACTATCATTTTTGTGCCCAACAGTGTCCTTTATTGACGAAACTATTCACCCGAAGGTCTCTAGTGGCTACTCGACATTCCTCGACATATGCGTTTTAAAATGTGTGAACATTTTCATGCTGCTCCTCATAATGTTCATGCGAGTGTTCTCAAAACAAATACTCGACTACGGCAAGGCTTCTACTGGCCTAGAATGTATTCCTCCACCGTCAGTGCGTTCGTGCCTGCAATACACGCCAGCGACGAAACGTTCGCCAGCGGCCTTCTGCCAAATCGCAACGTTTGCCCCGTCCAGCTGGTTCTTTGTATCGCGTTGGCATAGACGTATATGGCCCACTTGTCTGCAACTCCTCCGGTGACCAACCAATATGCCGTTGTAGAAGTCGGTCATCCGACGCGTTGCGCCGACACCGCTGCACTTCCGGCCGCTACAGCACACAAAGTCTATGCATTTTTCATTTTGCGGACCTTCGTTCTTCGGCGCTGAGCAGCATGGGAACTGCTTAGCGACTGAGGACGGGTGTTCCTTTCCTAAGTAATACAAGCCTTCGTTTTCTAAGTAATACAAGCCCTCGTCTCGGCATGCAGAATCGTCTATCGCAAGTCAACAGCCCACCATCTGCAAACTAACGGCTTGATGGAGAGGTTCAACCACACTCTCGGCGACATGTTGCCTATGTATGTCGCCTCCGAACATAACAACTGGGACGCTGTTTTGCCATTCGTAACATACGCTTACAACGCCGCCATACAAGCTACCACAGACTTTTCGCCGTTATTTTTGCAGTACGGGAGAGAACTGTCTTGCACCATGGACACATTGCTTCCGAACCGACGCGACACTTTCGAGTGCACGACGGTGTCTGAAGCGGCCGAATACCCAGAGGAGTGCAGACAGCTTGCACGTACACTATGAGCAATGTCCATGGTCGTGAAAAGCTATGGCATGACAGCGACGTTGCTGCACAAGCCTTCATCATTAGTTCACTCGTCTGGTTGTCCGTCGCACCACAGGTCTGGACTTGCAACGAAGTTTCTTCCCCCTTATGACGGCCCCTACCAAGTAATTGACCGCACGTCCTCTCTAGTATACGTGCAAGTGGGAAAACCGGGGGTCTTACGAGTCTCGATCTGTCCCTGAACCAAGTCGTTGAAACGGTGCAGTTAGCCTGTCAGGTTCATTATCAGCCTTTATTTCTACCCAGGCCTTAGTCGCCTCGATCACTGCTGTTCACTCCCGGGGGCTTTTGTAGGGAAGAACAGGAAGGCCAGTAACGTATGCTGTCGGACTAGTTAGTGTATAGCTCTGTAAAACATCGTAGGCGTAAACTTAAAGAAAACAAAAAAATACATGGAAAAGCGCACACTCACAACTTACTTTAATTAAACCGTAGCTCTGAAACCATCAGGCATGCATGCAAGCACACAAAAGCTCCAACAACTATCATCGCAACCTATCATATAAAAAACTAATTATCAAATTCATACAAAGGAGGGACACTGACAATGTTCACCAAGATACTTACTATACATAGCCTTTGCCGATTCACGTGTCACTTTGTCTTTGCTTCTTCGTAAAATTCTCGTGCTGTTAGCGACGTTTCACGCGAGCACTCGTTGCAATGACAGAGGACGAGAAAGTGGACGAATTCTTTGTGGTTGCGGCTATGCACGAAATCTGCGTTTCTGTCAGATTGGCGCTACTGCGACTGGAAATTATTACTACGTTTCCAATGAAATGTCTCACGACAATACCTTTAGCGCTGAAACAAAGAGCACCGGGCACAGGGCAGAGAAAGAACAGAGGAGAGCACAAAACTAACAACCGAATGTATCCGTCGGTCTTTGTTTCTCCATCCTCTCTTCCGCGATAATTACTTCCGCCTTAATCATGTACCGCTTGCGCTCTCTCCTGTTCTTCATAACATCAAAGAAGCTGGGTAATATAAAGATAGTGAGAGCTTATTTATTGGATGAAATTCGATATCAGAAACAAAATTAACATATCTAAGCGTGAGAGTAACTGAAACAATATCAGTAATATGAAACTCAGTAATCTTAAAGTACTGGTTTCACTTGTTTCTATAGGCATAGGCGAACCAATTTTACAAAATAACTGTCACGTGGTTGTGTTGGTTTATACTTTAATGATGACCAACACTAAGGAGAACTCATACTTAATATGAAAAATGGACCAGGTGCTACTGGTACCTCTTATACACAAAACAAGTATAATTCATCCTTAAAGGGACACTAAAGTCTAATAACAATTAGGGTCAGAGGGAAAGCTCACTGTATGACAACATCTAATCGACAATATACGCCGGATGCCTTCACCTGCAGTATCACAGAAAGTAAGATTGCTTGTGTTAGTCAAATGTCCATTTGTTATCTGATTCTGAGGTTGCTTCTTCAAGAAAACGTGAAAATGGTGTTTCTTTCATGTTTGTTCTTCTCTCATTTGAGAGTATGTACAGTTTAGATCTCTTCTTAGTTTGTTTTGCGATCATGTGGATGATCTTGGAATTATAGGAGAGCATTGTTTTCCAAGTCAAACTTTGCGTGTGGACATACCACGTTCTTCTCAAGTGTTCTTTCCCTGTAGCACATTGCCATAATACGTATTGCAGGCTGGAGAATCCCGTGTTACTGAGAAGACTCAGCAGTTTTGACGAAATTATTCTGCTAGAAAGCGAAATTACGTGACCTCGTTGATTGTAGGGCCAGACACAAGAGTAGGCTTCACAAGTGCCGGTGGGAATAGCGACAGGATTGTTCGGGCAAAGTTCATGGCGCTGATACGACACGCTTTGGGTCCTTCAGCTTTATTTTCGTGTATTTTTTACAATGTTACAATCAATATTCTGGTCAGAGTCTTGCATTTTATTTATGGATGCCAGTGCACATACTATCAACCAGAGACTTCTCTACTGGAAAAGTGCAATGCTTATCCAAATAGAAACGGTGAACATTATAAGACTTCTGTTTTTTTTTGAATGTTTGCACTGGATAAGTATAGCACTGAAGTGTATTGAAATACTTCGTAAGAAATCGGCATTAGCATGAATGTAGCTGTGTTGACTCACCAGGCATCATGGTATCTGATTCCTATGTCCTGAGAAAAGGTTCTGGCAGTAGCATTCAACTTTGTTCTCATTGCTGCTTTGCACAATATTCCAGATGTGTTCATCGTAGTCAAGTTTAGGTAAATGACACCAGTATTCATGAACTGAAGAAAAGAACAAGACAACAATAAATCTATTTCTTAGCGATATCATCAAGGCGTGGGGAAAAGGCGTCTACGCATACAATATCGACTAAATGGTTGGTTTTATCTTTAGGCAAGTTGTCACATCAAAATTTGACAGCTTTGATGACCGTTAGAGCCTGCTAAAATGCACTCACTCAAATAAAATCCGACAAATCAGCATTTTCTAAGAGATATACTCAATCCTAGAAACTCTGCATTCTCTTTTGGTGACGTGACCTTTCTTAATCCGTAATTAACTTTACACCCTTAAAAGGGGTTCGTCATGTCTAAAACAAACACCCTTATGCCATTTTAAACTGGCGTTTTCACGTATGAAAACTTACGCAACAGGGTATTTCCAGTGGCCAAAACGCTCTTGTAAATAAAAAAAATGTGAGTGAATATATCTACTAGTTAGGAATGGTAAAGTAATCGTTTTCATTTCAATTATAACCTTGTCATGAAATGTTATATTTGTGCGCGAAGTAGTTTATAGGAAAGTGGTGCAAGCAGGAAAAAGAAGCGGTGCGCTAAGCAAGACATCCTACTGTTGCAGAATGAAACGCAAAGAAAGCAATTGTTCATAAAAGCGTAGAAGCACTCTAGGCGTTTTGCTGTTGTCTTCTTTATTCTTGCTAAATTGTCTTTGACACACAGACTTCCATTTGAGCAGATTGGTTGAAACGAAGCCTATAACCTGGGCGCATCCTAAACATGGCACCTGCCAGCCTGGGTGGGTTCGAAAAGCCAGGTGGCTCGAGTGCGCAAGCGCACCTCATCATTTTAGTGGATCCTGCGTACTCGCAAAGCATGCCGTCTGGCTTTATTACCATACACAAGTTGACAAATATGGCCGCAATTTTCTATTTCGTGTAGTTATCCTCTAAATTTACAGACAACTCTCATATATTTTCACTGTTATGCTATGAATGGTAGCAGTTTTATAAGCAAAATATATGAACATTAAAGTGAGAGTGCTTGACTGCAACGCATGCAACACGGAGTTTACGCTTACATGAAGCAGTTCGGTGCTGATAATAATTTATGCAGATGGGAAAAGTAGCTATAGCTATAGCTATGCTCGACAGCAAACGGGAATTTATCTACAGCGACTCCAGGCCGGCCATCAAAGCCTTCGAACGCGGAGTCATCTCCGACCAGGCGTTACGTATCCTGCGCAATGCGGACCCGAGTGCCCTGAAGCACCACACTGTCATCTGGTTCCCCGCCCATCTCGGCCAGGTGCCGGGTGCCCTATCCAACCTCAACGAGATCGCCCATGATGCAGCGCGCGCACTTACCGACCGCACTGCCACAGGGCAACCTCATCTTGCTGGGTTGGATACCAATCGGGATGCACCAATTACGTACAATGAAATTACAAAGCACTTTTACTTGGAACGCCGCATTTTTCCACCCCCACATCCGAAACTTAACCGACCGCAGGCATTAACCCTACGCCTATTACAGACACACACGTACCCAAACCTTGCCACGCTTCACGTTTATTATCCCGATGCATACCCCAGCGACACATGCCCATCATGTGGACACACAGCGACACTCGAACACATGCTCTGGGAGTGTAGAACAACTCCTCCCGACTCTACCTCAAGCAAGTGGGAGAGGTCCCTCAGGAGCTCACTTCTCGCCGACCAGCGATGGGCCGTCCAGCAGGCCCACGAAGCGGCCGCCAGGTACTCCCTGTCGGTCCCTACGTGGGAGACGCCCGCTACGCGCTAAGCGCGTCCTGCAGGACCGAAATAAAGTTTTTTCATTCCATTCCATGGGAAAAGATCATGCCAAGCTTTTCAGTATAGCTTCATATGTCTTCTCACTGGTAATTCATGGGAAACCACCGCTTACTACTGGTTACTCACTTCTTCGCAAAGAAGGCTTAGTTGAACCAAATGTGTGCAGTAACATCGTGGACACTTTCGCATTGCTTTTTGATTTTTCGAAGTTCTGGTTTTTGCCACAACACGGCACTGCATATTTAATGACCTACACATTATCTAAGACGTATTCAGCCTTTAGAACACAAACATAGTGCCATTAGGGTTCATAGGATAAATAGTAGAAGGAGCACATAAACCCAAAAATGTAGGTCATACTTGTTTCACCTCGAAGCAGCCATATGCAATGAAATTTGACAACTTTGGATGTAGAATTCGATGTGCGCTTGTGGTGAATACGCCCACAGCTTTTGCATCTGCATTTCTTGACTTTCATAGAGAAACCGCATTGCACCTAACACCTTCCTGCCAAACTTGGTGTATTTCAGATACAGTTGAATTCTCAGGTGTCACTACAAATAGGTGCCTTAAAACACGCTCCAATTGGAAGCCTACCGTTGTGGCATTCAGTACGAACTTGGTGACCTGTTCCTCGGCAGTGTCCACCACTTTAGTAACATTGGCACAATTTTTTCACGTTATTAGGCATAATTGGGCCAGTTCGTTTTCATGTCTTACCTTCCATGGGCCTGTCCTCTTCTGTGGAGCACTTTTTTTCTGCAAAACAAAGAAATAATTCAGCTCTACGGCGACCCGCTAAACTTCTAAGAGTGATTTATCCGAAAAACAATTCACTGGCCAACCTAGGTCGTTTCGCTAGCTTCACATATGCCAAAGTTGGTATCACGTGATGCCATGAAGGACGAAGATATGGACTTGAGCGAACATGATCATGAGATGTGTGTCATGTGGGAACATGACTACATGCCACAGTGAAGGCGACAATACATTTAGACTCGACGCGGTGCGCGCACTCGCCGGCGTACATTTCGTCCTTTCACGCCAGCGTTGCCACGCCAGGCGCCTGTCCTGCCTTATAATCAGAGGTACCCGCCGCGCTGCGTTGCTTTGACGCATGCGTGTTTTGAGCGCGTCCGGCGTCCCTCCGTCACGAAAAGAGGGAGACGTAGTGTTGTCTGGATAACGCCTAAGCTCAAAATGCAGCATGTCGCATTTCGCGCCAGTTACCGTCGAGCCGCGCCGACGGACGCTGGTCGCGACTGGCGTCACACTATACAGTGCATGCTCACGTTTTGCTAACATAGCGTCACTGTGGCCAACGTGCGCGCGTGTCAACGATACATTGCAGTGTATGGGCCCTTCATTATGTGCTCGCGGCCGTGTTGCTGGCTCCACATATACGAAATTTTGTGTTACGTGACATCAATAAATGACGAGATATATGACTGGTGAAAACAAGATAATCCTGACGCGCGTGTGACGTAAGAACATGACAACATACCCCTCTCATAGCGTGCTCACGGCCATTTCACTAGCTTCACATATACTAAATTTGGTATCCCGTGACATGAATAGATGACCAAGGTAAACGACATATCCAAACACAATAATCATGACACAGAAGTCATGTACGGCCTCATTTACTTCTAACTCGTAACGTTGTGCTAATCCACCTCGTAACGCTGTGCTGACATTTCTCATTCGTGCTTCGCATATGATCAATTCCCACTGTACGTGAGACCTGGCAATTTTTTTTAGCGGAACATGACTGAATGGCGTTACGTTATTCAACTTCGAGCGCCAAGAGCTTCCAAAGGCTAAACGGCGCGCTCAGGGGCATATGAGTTATCGGTAGTATTTTACGGGTTAAACGAGCTCCTAGGCCGCGTCTGAGGCTGAGTGACAACGATCGAGCAGCAATTCTATGAAGCCTGGCTGGCTTGCAATGGCTTCACTTGCTTTTCTTAGCTTACTTCGTGCAACGCCTTCGTGTGAATTCTTCTTCTTCCGTGTTGTGCCTCTTCAGGGGATTTGTCGGGAAGTTGTGAGGGCGAATCTGATTATTTGAACCTACGATCATCGCCAATAAGTAACACGCACGCAGTGTTCATATGCCTTACTAGCCTGCGTGGCCCAAGCGTTCGTCTGCAGCTGCCTTGCCGTTGTTCGATCCGGCATCGATTTCAGAATCACTGCTCACTAGAGGATCAAACCGAAACTGATTCGTCGTGCCGCGAACCACCGCGATTGTGTATTCCTCAGTGTCTACATCGTTTTTTGTGGATGCTGACGACGGCGGCGGTAATGACGGGGATGGCGAAGCCTATCTCACCAAATATCAACAAAAATTCACGTCCCCAATTTGTGTGGGTACGTGAAGAAATGCGGCGTGACCGCGGGACATGGCCACTCGGCAGCGCTAGAAATTTGCGGGCTTTGGATGCCTCTTGAATTGGGTTTGATGCTGGTAGTACTAATTTGTATTACATTTATCATCTCGTCTTTCTGTTGCATTGACACTACCGAATCTTTACTAGGAGATCAATAACTACACGTTGATGCAAAAAACGTGACACGCATAATGTTTGTGTGACTGCTCCTTCAAATGCGCACGTTTGTTAGCTATCCCATTAAGCATTCTCAATATAAATAACATCTCCAACATATATCAGGTTCATTAAGCTTACCGGTTGTTCAGCTGAGACGCGAAGAGGCACGACTGCGGCAATTGAAATGATTAACCATGGGTGAACAATGTAGGGAGCCATTATAGCCGCGGCACAAGTAATCGTTCCGGAAATTTTGTATCATACAGAGTTCTAAACCCTGTTATCGAAACTCTTTATATCCGCTGCAATACAGTGTTGACGTCAGAAAGCTGAAGTTCACTTGGAAGTTAACGGAAGGACTCACAAAGCACTCGTTAAAGATTTATCGAAGAGAAAGCTTTGTCAATATTAGAACACGTGCTCAGGACGAGTTCATTGCTACTCTGCCCTTTGTCTACTACAATGCGGTAGCCATCCTGGTTGAATTTTTTCATCTGTGTCAATTACATTTTTAACTTTTTTTCCTTCAGCTGTCACCACCTTCACATCAGATGACAATGCCCCCGCTCACTCCCCAACCTTCAAATGTACGAATCAACCTTGAATATTTTACTTGACTCGTTGTTAATAATTTTTAAACACCATAATATCACGTACAGCGCGCAATACGATGGGGAGAGCAAGCACCCGTGGCTTTGCAATGAGAAGACTGGAACGGCTTCACTTCAATTTTTTTCACTACTGTGTGTTTAAAGTTACTGCTTGAAATAATTTGAAGCCTATGTATATCAGTATAACTATGTTTTTCCTTTTGTACTCTGAGAACTGACGCCGTCGTTTGATGCAAGATGAAGAATATCTAATTGTATAAATGGAATTATAACAAAACCTTCGCAGCTTTGCCCGAAAGGCAAAGGAATGAACGTGATAGCAACAGCTTGGAAGGTCCCGTGCAGAAAGGCAAGCAGATCAAAACGTGTTCCACGTTTCGCACGCAGAAATGACGCACGAAACGTACTCACGGGTACAGATGAACGTGAATAAGCACCTCAGTTGTTACTTCGCTGTGTCTGAAAAGCGCGCGTTTTTCACAAATGCAGGCTGTGCAACGATTGCAGTGACCTTTGTGTACCCCGAAACTACAACATCAATCATTACAGTGCAAGCCCAACGCCAGCCAATATCCTCCCAACCGGGAGATAACGGTTCGTGAGAGATCGTCCAATCCCCTCTTTTCCGCAGGCCAAAGTACGCATGAGAGATGAGAGCCACCGCATGTCCATTGCGACTTATTGCTGATAATGCTGAAAACACGATCAGTGCACCACCACCCCCCAGATGCCCACCAACAAAGGTAGATATGATTAGGTTGCCGTTTCAACGGTGACGGAGGTGCCCTCTAGTGGCTCAAGGGTTAACACCTCGCAATCCCGACGCCGAGGTCCCAAGTTCGAGTGCACACGCCAGAGTCTTTCTTCTGGACTTTTTCTTTGTTGCGTTTTAATATAAATAGGTACGTATACATATACTGTGCATGACATCGATGCCGACAGACACATCAACACCAACATGGGTGGCGAAATCCAGTCGAGAATGTCCATATAATTGCTATCACAATAAAACATCACCGAAAGCTAAGAGCACACCGGAATGCCACGAGCGACGCGAAAGTACATAGAAATCGGTCGATCTTGCGTTCCCATGCTTGATAACATCCAACTAATTTCTGAATAATGGTCTGTATTTGCTTTGCGAAGATTTTCATGTAAATTTGAATTGGTCGGCAAACCCTGCAGAAAGGCTTCGAACGCCGCGAAGATTCAATTCTTTGATTTCACTCATGGAACACTCATTTGAGCATTCGTGACATGCGCGTTAGATGATAGTATGCGTTCGAGTGTTAGAGATGTCACGTAGTTTATTTACGTATAGACCTACTGGAAGGCCAAGGAACGCCAGAAGAGCGAGGAACGTCAACAGGCCGAAAATACGAAACAAGCGCAAGCTCGGGTCGCACTGTGCACCAACGCTGTGGCTTGCCGTTTCTTGCTGCTTCGTCGTCGTTCGCATAGTTCCCTACATTGGCCCCCGGTGAATAGCGCAGCCAACCTGGCGACTTAAGGCGTAGTCACTATAGCGGGGTCGTAATACGGCTTCAGGCGACTCACATGCACAATTTCTCGGCCACGACGGCGTAAGTCATGAGACTGGTCAAAGGCTCAATCTCATAATTGACTGGTGGCGTACGGGCGAGAATGCGGTAGGGCCCGTGGTTTCGTGCCAGCAAATTCGAGGAAAGGTCAGGAGTGCTCGGTGGAATCCAGAGCCAAACGGGAGCACCAGTCGCGAAAGTAGAGAGATGTCGGTCGGTGTCATACCATAGCTTCTGGTGTCCTTGGTCCTCGGTTGTCAGTGAACTGGGCCAATCGTCTGCAATCTTCTGCGTAACTGGCAACACCAGAAATGGCAGAAATTGCGGGCGTGTATAGCAGGATAGTGTCCAGCGTGCACGATGGTTCGCGTCCCAACAACAGAAAGGGGAAAACCCTGTTGTCGCGTGCGTAGCGGTGGTATACGCATACGTGACGAGTGGAAGGACAGCGTCCCTATTGGTCTGGTCTGAAGCTTTGTGCATCGTCAACATATCACCGAGAGTGCGATTAAATTGTTCTGTGAGGCCATTCGTCTGCGGGTGATATGCTGTCGTCATACGATGAACCATGTTGCACTGAGCGAGCAAGGCTTGAATGGCGTCAGACAAGAAAACATGCCCCCAGTCGCTCAAAAGTTCGCGGGCAGCACCATGGCGAAGCAGGAATTTGCGCAAGATGAAAAACGCAACTTCCCTCGCGGTTGCTGCGGGTAGTGCTGCCGTGTCCGCGAAACGCGTGAGGTGGTCCACGCCGACAATTATCCACCTATTTCCAGAAGACGACGTCGGAAGTGGTCCGTATAAGTCGATACCGACGCGGTCAAATGGACGCGCTGGACAAGGCAGAGGCTGGAGTGTACTGGCAGGGCATTGAGGTGGTGCTTTACGTCGCTGGAATGCAGTACAAGCACGTACGTACTTGCGAACAAATCTATACATGCCGTGCCAGTGGTACCGCAGACGTAGACGGCTGTACGTTTTGAGAGCACCGGCCTAAGCGCTTTGCGGGTCGTTGTTGAAAACTGTACAGATCTCCGAGCGCATGTGGTTGGGTATCACTAACACCCACCTCCGACCTTCAGACGTGTAATTCCACCAATAGAGGAGGTCGTCTCGAAAAGTGCTTGTGGCCGGATTGGTATACAACACGAATGTCGTATTTCTGTAGGCGAAGCGCCCAACGACCAAGGCGGCCCGATGGGTCTTCGAGCGATGATAGCCAGCATAGAGCGTGGTGGTCCGTAACGACTTCGAAAGGGCGGCCATGAAGGTACGGGGGAACTTCGTCAAAGCCCAGACAATTGCGAGGCACTCTTTCTCCGTGACGAAATAATTACACTCGGCTTTCTTGAGGGTTCGACTCGCGTAGGCGACCACGTATTCTTGGTTTCCTGGTTTTCGTTGAGCCAATACAGCACCAAGACAGACACCACTGGCTTTGGTGTGGACCTCCGTAGGCGCATCGGGGTCCATATGACGTAGTATTGGAGGTGATAATAATAACCGCTGAAGCACAGTGAAGGATTCGTCGCACTCTTTTGTCCAAGCAGAAATGCCTTTGGAAGTTGTCAGCAGGTTGGTAAAAGGCGCAATGATGGAAGAGAAGTTCCGCACGAATCGACGAAAGTATGAGCGCAGGCCGATAAAACGACCAAGGGCTCTCCGATGGCTGGATGACACCACGCTTGAGCATATCGTCGACTTGTTCGTTGATAATACGGCGCCTTTGCGTTGAAAAAGGGAGCACGAGTACCGGTGTCAATGTGGTGCGTGATGTTTGCTGTGCGACCCAAAGATGGTTGAGCGCAATCGAACGCAGAACGGAACTCTCTACGAAGGGACAAGAGTTCACCTCTTTGTGTCGGCGATAGCTCAGAGGCAACAGAGGGCTGGAATGAGTCTGGCGCGGGCAGTGTGGCCACAGGTGGCGTCATAGCATTGAGCTGGAGGTGAGGTGGGTGTTCGGAAACTCCAGAGGGACGCAAGAGGTCAACGTCTTGTATGTTACCCAAAGATTCTCCGCGAAGTAAGGTAGCGCGCCAGCTGTCACTGCTGCCACTGACACATGAGCCCGCGCAAGCTTTCGCACCGGACCTTCAACACGCCATTCGAACCCAAGTCGCTGAGGCCCTTCCACCGATGCATAAGCAACCACCTGTCACTACGCCTCTCACGTACGCCGCCGTACGTACGAAACAGACAATGCTGTTCTCGCACACCCCAAAAATGGCTTTTTAAGGACTCCATCCCTATAATAAAATACAGTGACTACGCAAGATTGTGAGGAATGAGGTAAAGGTGGGTTTCATAAATTTCGACCGCGTGGTGTTCTTTACAATGAGCTTTTTTGTATTCAAAACTTAACGTGCTTTCACGACTTGGTCCACTAGCATTTCGCTGACGTTAGTTCTGTTGTTTAATTATCCCCACAGAGAACACTCCTAATAACCTATTTACTGAGGAAACGAGCGAGTGACTAGGTGGGCGTGTACAGTGCCTCGCAAGTGTTCACACATCTCGTGGCCGTGTGACGCATGAATCTCATGCACTTGCACGGGCTAGGAGACTGGCCTCCAAGTTGTTTATAAATGAGACACGTCTGTGGAACACTTAGCCTGATCGTGCGTTGTTTCATACCAACATATCATTGCTTGCGTGTTCCCTCTTGCAAAAAATGTAACAATCTGTCTGCTAGCATTTACGAACACATAAAAACTAAAAAGAAACAGTGTCATGCAGCTTTCGGTGTAGTCCTAAAGCCTTCACAATAGCCACTTACGTTACTGTGAAGAGTTTAAACTTGTCTTTTTTGCCAAGGCATCAATGGCAGCAGTGTTCGAGTACGCACGTTAAGTTTCCTGCATTGAATACTTCTAGGGTGGCTTGCAAGACAAGTGTGCGACATGCGTGCCAAATTTTGCAGTTTTTTGTTCTCATTTGTTATGGCAGGTGACACTATTTGTGGTGTGCAGGCGCGTAGCCAGAAATTTTTTTCGACCGGTGGGAGGGGGGGGGGAGCACCACCTTGATTTCGGGAAGAGCACCTCCTTTTAATGGCCATTTTTCGCTCTCCATGCTATGGCGAAAATATTTGGGGGGTGGGTGGCACGTGCCCTGTGTGCCACCCCCTGGCTGCTCCC